ACCTATTTAAGTCGCACACAGTTAGTAATTTCTTGCTGGAAACAATGTGTAATTATTACAGAGCATTTTGGAGAGTGAGTGTCTTATCGTATCTTGTTTTCTGGGCTGGTTACCTTTGTTCTTGGTACTTTGATAAGGACTGTTGGTGTGTGTCACAATCCTTGGGAATCCGGAGCTGGGGCAGAACACATGTAGGGCTTTAAAAATCATAGCCAACACCTTGAATTGCACTCAGAAGCTAACTAGTACCCAATGCAACTCATGCAACAGAGATATTACAAGCAGATTCTTTGGGAGCCCCCAGCTGCATTGGGTACGAGTGAAATTTCTGGACACTTTTTAAGACTAGCCCCATTTAGAGCGCATTGCAGTAGTCCAAATGGGAGATGACCAGAGCATGAATCACCAAGTAGAGAGCCTCCCTATACAGGAAAGAATGTAACTGGCACACAATATGAAGTGGAACAAAGGCCCTCCTAGTTTCCATGAGCTGGACCTCTCACTTCCTATCAACACTAATTGAGATCAACTTCTAAAGGAATAGGTGAACTAGCACAGAACCATGTACCCTAAGCTGACCCAAAAGACTTATTTTATTTTTACTTTACTTTATTTTGTTTTATTATTTCATTTTATATGCCTATCTTACCACAGGATAATTCTGGCTGGTTTACAATATTAAAAGGATAAAACTAGATAAAAATTATACAAAATACAAGTAAAATATTATAAAAATATAAATACTCTACCCTAAGTCAAAGCTATCATAATCAATAGTATTAAAAACCACTGAGAGATGCACCATCTTCATTCTGTCCCCACTAGGACACATTCATGAAGAACCAGTGCTATTCCGGTCCATGTCTGGATTCAGATAATTAATTTTTTCCCCCAGGAAGTTTGTCCAAAGATCCTTGACAAGCATTATTCAGGGATTCCCACCTGGTTTTATTTAAACTAAAAAAAGTAAATAATCTTCACAAGCTGCAAATGATTTATTCAAATGTCTTCTCAATATAAATAGCTTATGTTCCTGCTAAGTGATGATCATATGCCAAAGTGATCAAATTTTATACAGTTATCACAGTGCTCTGGTTTTCAGCAATGACCTTTTTCAACTTACCCATTTTTTAGAAAGAAAAAAAAAATTAAAGTTGTAACTCATAGAATGATGTTATGATCCCAGGGCTTCAGGCTGCCCACAAGTAGAGGCCTAGAAAATGACCAAAGTATTTTCAACTTTTAAGAAAGGCCCATGGGGAGATCCAAGAAATTATAGGCCTGTCAGTTCAAAAACTACTAGTAAGACAAAATTACCAAATATCTGAGACTTGGATCTTGTTCAAGAATGAACAAGCTAGTTTTAAACTGCTTAGAAGACAATAAAATACACTTGGAAGAAGTGGCATGATTCTAAAGGAGAGTATTTGTAGCTCAGGGTTGAAATGAAGAGTCTTTTATGCTCTCTGAACTTGCTTGTTATCTTGTAGGTGTTTGATTACCAAACGAGGCAACATCATCAGATGACATGATTCTCCTGGATAAAATATGCTCTGCCCCTCAGTTACTTATCCTTGATACAACAATGTCTTGTCTATTTAGAGAAGGAAAGCTAAGTTGATTTAGAGCACGGGTGTCAAACTTGCAGCATCATGTTGTCGTCACGTGATGTTTTGTGACTTTTTTCCCCTTTGTGGAGCTGGGATGGGTGTGGCCTGAGCATGACGCATCTGGCTCATAGGCTGCAAGTTTGATACCTCTGATTTAGAGTTGTTTTACCCTAACTTATTTAGCCAAATTTTTGACTTTTCAGATTACAGCATTTATCTGTGCTATATTCCTCCTCCTTTCTTTTTTCTTCAAGTCTGTAAACTTGTAAATTCATTGATACAGATGGAACTTACTTAGGCTAGCCAATCAAAAATCCCTGATTCTTTCAGGCTTGTTTCCTCCCCATTTGGAATTAGAATCTTGTTCAAGTGACAGCACCATATGAAAAGTCTCTAAATACATACAGAAGCACCACAGTATATTGTGAGCAACTGACAGTCAGAATACGATTCCTCGTGTAAATAAAGGATACTATCAAATGACATTCTTGACAAGCCAATCAACAAACTAATTGTTTTTGAGGGATTTTTAAAAGTCTATTGTTCAGGATAGGCATATTCCTTAGTAAAAACAGCAGCCATTCATGTTTATTTATTTATCAAATATAGAGATTGCCCATTTGGTCTCAGAGTGATTCTTTATTTTTTGTCTTCCTCAAATCAGAAAGGATTTTTTTTTCAGGCTTCTGCCTAGAATATCTATTTACAATTTTTAGTATTTCAATTTTTTTTTATTACCAATGAGTCCCCCTCCCCACTCACAAATGGAAACATTAATTTTACTAACACTTACACATTTTTTAAAGATGAATTTTAATGAGGTTAAAAAAGAAGCCATAATCTAATTGAATGTCCCACATATGCAATTCATATTACTCATTTGTACGAATCATTTCCCTTGACCTATAAACACTCGTTTTCAGGTATTCACGTTGCTAAGAAAATCGACAAGCTTGGTATGAGATCATCTGACACAGCAGAAATCTTCTTTGAAAATGTCAGAATTCCCAGCAAATACCTCATTGGAGAAGAAGGAATGGGATTTAATTACCAGATGTTGCAGTTCCAAGAAGAACGAATGTGGGGAGTAGCCTCATGTAAGTAATAAGCCACACTGTCTAGCTACTAAGATGTGTTTTTCTTACCAAACAATGTGGAAAGTTGATTTTGGTAGTAAAATATAGCAACTCTCTCAGTTATGAAAGTAGAATCCAAATTTTTGTTGAAGACAATATTGTATGCATTTCCACAGTTGCAGATTCCTTCCATGTACAAATTTGTCAAAAATTATTTGTCCCCATTCAGTATTTCAGAAGTTTGGATATTTTTGCCACTAAATGTTACCAAAACTTTATATGGGTCTCTGTATTGAATAACAGTTTTTGATGAAAAACACCAAACATTTATTTTTTATAAACCAAGTTGTCTATTTTGATTTGCTTTGGCAAATTGAGCAGCATACAATTTTAATAAAACATTTTTTTAAAAAAACAGTTAATACAGCTACCAGTAAAAAAAACATAATTACAACAGTTGTTTGAATGCTTCATTAAACAATCAGGATTAATTTGGGCCAACTCTTCCCTATATCCATTTCACAAAGTTTGGTTTCCTTATCACAGAGAAGTGCCTCCTCAGAGAACATACGAAAACCTCCATAATAAAGTCATTGATGTCTATGATGTTACAAGGCTGTGTGGAACCTCTGAGGTGCCATTACTCTAAAGTCAGAAAAATAATCCTGTAGAAGTGAAAGTTTGGAGCAACAGAGAAACTTTTAGTTTCAGCTTTTTAAAAACAGCGAAGTCACAAAAACTGACTCTAGATAGATCAAGAAAGGCCTGAAAAGCCAAGATATGAGATTCATGGACATTTTATCTGGTATTTGGGAATATTCTTGAGAGATAGCCACTGTTTGAAGTTGAAGCACTTGGATGACCTTCCAGAATCTTTTCAGGTACTATTATATCTGGTGAAAACCAAAGAATTCCAGATTGGTTTTAATCAAATAAATTAATTCCAAATCTCATATCAGTCATCAGAGAGGGGGCAAGTTCACAGTTTGGAGATGCTCTTCAGTTTCAGGATCTGGGCTACTTGCTATTGTACAAAACATGTCATACAATTCTGCAGAATATCAAGTCGTATCTGTGGAAACTGAATCCAGGTGGGTCTTGAACCAAAGCAGTGTTGCCAAATAAACAAGCAGATCTGTGAGAGATTGGATGAAGAATGAAGTCTGCATTTAGATACTCTAGACATAAAAGCTGAAATATTGTAGCAAATCTTGATGTAGCGAGTTAGAAAAATGTCAAATTTTAGTGAGCAAAGCAATGTGCTATGAAACAGGCAAAATTCCTACATAATTTATCAGGAAGCATTACTGTAGTTCAAGATGGTGCAACCACTTACTGAATTTTAAGGAAGTTGATGACCATACACATTGCATATTGTTCATGACACTGAGTATTGCTGTTATTCACTTTGATTCACTTTAAGTAACAGTAATATCCATGGGAAACTCTTGATCATGTTCTATGGCAAAGATACACAAAAATTCAGAAAAATCTGGGCGGAGAGAGGGAGAGGAAGGGAGACTTAATCTTCAATAGAAAGGAATTAAATTTACTTTTTTATTACATCACATTTTTAGCACTGAGAATTCTAGAACTCCTGATAAAAGAAACTATTGATTATACTTCTCAACGGAAAGCATTTGGACAGACAATACTTCACAATCAAATAGTGCATTTTCGCCTGGCTGAACTAGCCACCGAAGTGGAACTCCTTCGTGCGTTGCTATATGAGGCGGCAGGTAAGTGCAATAAAAATTTATTTCCAATAATCTAATAAAAGATACATTATTTTTTGTAGATATGGTTAAATTGACAGGCAAGTTTGTATTTTTATTTGAGGTCTCTACATACGCGGTAATGATGTGACCAAACTTGTATCCATGGCCAAGCTAAAGTGTGGTCGCCTATGTCGAGAGATTCCAGATAGCTGTCTCCAGTTCTGGGGAGGAATGGGGTACACTAATGAAGTGCTAGTGAGTAGAATGTACAGGTGAGAAGGATTAACTCTTTAATCTATGTGGGTGTACCTGTATAAGTGTGTAATGTCACAAGCATTCAAATTATTAATCGGGTATTCATGTTTGATACATTGTATTTGAAGTATGGTATTGGATACATATTGTTAATGTTAAATTTTAAGAAAAGATATGTATTATAATCCAGGAAACTATATATACTAGTACTATGTATCCTGTGGGATAATTACCAGTACAGGTTTCTTCTTAAATTCCCCATGCCTCATGTTTAAGCTCAAATGCATTCAAATCCATCCCCACCCACCAAAAAACCCCTACAAATACACAGGGAGAACAGCTGAAGAAGTAATATTAAATTTTTATTTCTGTCATTGACCAACAACATTTACATTCAACTATCCAGTTAATGCCAATAGCCAAACTTAAGTACAATAAGAAAGATGAGTAGGAAATCCAGCCTTTATGGCAACAGGAACTACTGTTTCAAAACAATGAACATAGATTCAGTATACGTGTTTGTATATACACATGTAATATATGCATATATGCATGCGTGGGCGCGCGCACACACACACACACACACACACACCTGGAATATTGTGTCCAGTTTTGGTCAGCACAACAAAAAAGATATTGATAACCTAGAAATGATGCAGAGAAGAGCAACAACACGATAAGGGGTCTGGAAGCTAAATCATACAATGAACTGTTGAAAGAACTAGGTAAGCCAAGGTGGAAAACCATTAAAGAGAGATTCAACCTAGAACTAAGGAGAGAACAGTAAGAACAATTAATCAGTGGAAAGTCTTACCTCTGAAAGTTGTGGCTGCTCCATCACTAGAGATTTTCAAGAAGAGACTGGACAGCCATTTTCCAGATTGGTATAGGGTCTCCTTCTTGATCAGGAGGTTGGACTAGAAGACCTCCAAGGTTCCTTATGTAGAACATAGAATAACAATCCTGTTATTCTATGTTCTATGTATACGAGGTCTGAAATTCTTGCATAGCCCCTATTTTATTCTGCATGATCACATTGAAAGCAGCTTTTTTCAAAATACAACATTTTATTCAGTGATTAAAAAGTATCCTAATCTAAAATTTTACAGGGACTCCTTGGTTAATGACTACATATTCAGCATCTTTTCAAAATTCCAATTGCACTGAACAATTGGTACAGATAGTCCTCAACTTAACAACAGTTCGTTTAATGACTGTTCGAAGTTACAACGGCACTGAAAAGAGACTTATGACCATTTTTTTCACAACCATTGCACCATCCCCATGGTCACGTGATTTACACTCAGATGCTTGACAAGAAGTTCATACTTATGACAGTTGAGTGTCCCAGGGTTATGTGATCCCCTTTTGTGACTTTCTGACAAGTCAAGTCAATGGGGAAACCAAATTCACTTAACCACGTTACTAATTTAACAACTGCAATGATTCACTTAACAAACATGGTAAGAAAAGTTGTAAAATGGAGCAAAACTCACTTAACAAATCCCTCAGTTAGCAACATAAATTCTGGGCTCAATTGTGGTCGTAAATTGAGCGCTACCTGTACCTGTACTTATGGACAATCCTTAGCATTCCAGCTGTTGCAGCATCCCACAATCATGTGATCCAAGAGATCACAAATGGTGATCATGCGATGTCCTCACTTAATGACCCACAGTGATTTGCTTAACAACACCAACTAGGACTGCCAGAATTGTTGTCACTAAGCAATGTGACCACATCATTTGTGGTGCTTAATTATAATTTCAGTCCCAATTGCTGTTGTAAACCAAGGACTACACATACACATGCCAAAATGGAATTGAAATCCCCCCCCCCAAGGAATTAGGAAGCTTTTCTGAGATAGAAGACTGACTGGAATTCTGGGAAATTTTTATGGGCTGCATTTTGTCTGATATATATAGAGAAAATTTGCATCAGAACAATTCTTTGGAAAGCTATAACTCCCACAACAATCAAAGTCATAGAGATGAATGCATGTGTAACAGAAGATTAAACCCTACTGTAATTCAAAATCGTGGTCAATTAGGAATTTTGTTTCCTAATTGATGGCTGTTCAGCTTGACAACATAGAAATGTTCACAAGACTGCCCTAGTAGGCTTTGGGTGCTATATATGCAGTCACACTCAGTTATACTTGCCAAGGATTGCTAGATTGCTGACCTGAATTAAAATGTTGTACTTACAAATCTAATATATTTTAAGCGATGTTGATGATTAGTATATTAAAGCAGCTCGCAATTCACATTGACTTAGTTAAACAAGGACTGTTAAACAATATCAAGTTTAATATTAATAGTATTAAGTGAAAGGGGAAGCAGAACAGACAAATTTCATTTTATTGATACTTTGTTTTGCCTTTTCTGTCATGGCAGAGATTTAAGATTGGTATCAATAGGAGGCGGTGCTGATGAAATCATGCTGTCTGTTGTATGCAAATACATGGGTATCTTGCCCGAAAAGTAAGTTTTATGACTATAGATCTTTGCTACTGTTTTAATAATCAGTATTAAAGCTTTTTTTAAAGTGCAGGTACAATAAATACCGTATATGACCAAATTTTTAATTTTCATGATTTTTTCTTGCACGTAAATTATACTTAAATTTAGGGGATATAAGGGTACTAAAATGTGCAAATTTGTAGGATGTTTTCCAAGAACCACTGATAACTTAGTATTTGGTTATGAAGCAGAAAAGGGGATTCTGATCTGATGTGATTATACACACATTATCTTTCTCTGGCCCTTGAAAGAAACAGTATTTTTCCCCCCTGATCTCATGCATAGCACATCCAGGCCAGATCTGAATCTCCTTTCCTGCTTTGAATGTGTGAATGCCTGCACATTCATACCTAGAACATTTTTCTGGTTTTTTTTTTAATTACTAAAAAATAAATCCATCCATCGTTTGCTTCTGAATCATGAAAGGTAGTGATGTAATATAAAAAAAATGTAATGATAGGACTAACCTAGAATTCTTATCTCACCTGTTTTATAATCAACATCTTCAAATATTAACCAGAGCTCTGTCACACCTACCAGTTTATATAATTATTCCATGCATCTCATAGATATTAACATATGCATTAATATTGCATATCTTAATGTATACCATATAATTATATTAATCTAAATAATTATTTAAATGTATTGTTTGTTCAATTCTGTTGGTAACAATTGAATAATATATAGCATGCATTCTACATTTATTTATAATATAATACGCTATGTATTAAAGCCACCATTACCTTTTCAAAAGATGTGGAAAAAATCTACCTGTAGTTGACTATTTAGTTTAATTGAATATTGTGCCAGAAAAAGAATGGATGCATTGGTGTACACCACTGGTGTATAAAGTTATAGATAGCCTATATAACTTAGATAGAGAGAAGTTTTTATCCTTATTTTACATAGTTAGAATTTCATGTCATCTATTATCCAAACTAAATGCAGGGAAGCTATACACTATACATAGCTAATTTGGGGAATTCACTGCCAGCAATGGTGATAACAGCAAGCAATTTGGACAGCTTTCAAAGAGAACTGAATGGGTTCATTCAGAATCAAGCTATCAATGGTTGTTAGTACTGAAGGTTTTTACTACCCCCTGGATCATTGGCTGCATACTCAATTATAGGTTATTGGGAAGTAACTGTGAAAGGGAACCATTTTCCTCCAGCTGAATTTTATGAGATTAGCAAATTCAGATATAATATCAGGATAGTCTCAGTAAACAGTCGCCTTGTAGTTAGATACAGAAAATATATTTTAAATTGAAGCATTAATCTGTATTCTCTTATTTTATAGGAACAAAAAAGAATAAGCCCTGGAATTTTCAGAACACAATTAACAGAATTATGGTGAAAAAAATTCTTAACCTCAGCCAGCCTAATAGTATTCTTCAGATTGTTTAAAGTTTTAATTTTAACAACCTTAATTTTTCATTTTTCTTTCTTTTTATTACTGTTAAATTGCCTAAAATAGCCTCACAGCAAGGCAAGCAGCAAATAAATTTAATTAATAAATAATACTGAGAGGAAATGGGATGACTTTGGAGAAAGGAAGCATTCCTATTGCATTTCCCTATATTTTAAAATCATAAATATGTATAGTCTATATAAGCCTTACTATTAGTAAAATCAAAGATATTCCTCAGTATTTTGATTATATAATAAAATAGTATATAATTTTTATAATTGAAGCATTTATATATGATTGGAATAAACTACAAATCATGAATTGTTCTATTATATTTTTAAAAAATCATTTCAATTGGAGAATTTGTCAGTATAAAATACATATAAATGAAGCAAGATATCCTTGCTCATATAAGTGTGACACTACATGCTGCAATTGAAAAATGGATAGAAAGTATCACAGCTGTTGAAATGACCAATTGTGTTAGTGAGTAGAATCCTCCCTTTAGCACTTTTAATGGGATCCTAGCTACATAGCGACTGGATTTGCATTATCAAACTTAACAAATGCTGAAGATTCTCAGTGGAAATTTAACCAGCATCTAACTTAGTAAAAATTATTTACCAATATTCTCAAAAAACCTTCTGCATACAAAAGAAGCTTACTACAACACTTAGAAGAAGCTTAACACAATACTCAAAGTCATTTTGTTAACATGTAGGTCTATTACCTCTAGCAAGTTAATATGTTGTACACTGGAAGAAAAAATCCACTATTATATCTTCCAATTCCAAATCTTAAATTTGCAGATGTGTGTTAAAACCTCTATGAACCTACCCTATTTCCTCCAAATTAAGACATCCCTGATAATAAGCCCAATCGTGCTTTTGAGCACATAGTAATAAGGCCAAGCACTTATTTCAGGGTTCAAAAAAAAATATACGACAGGGTCTTATTTTTGGGGAAACACAGTAGCAAAAATAGTATAAAGTATTTAATATAGAGAATTAAATAGAGACTACTCCCAAATCAGATTTAACTATTGGCATCTGGTTGGATAAATCTACTGACTTTTCTTGGAAACGTTTCAGAATTGGTTTGCAAGGGCCTTCTTTCTAGGGCTGAAAGTTAGTGACTGGCTTAAAACCAACCAGCTGCCTACCATGTGTAAAGCAGAGCTAAAACTCAGGCTTCCCCACTATTCCAACACCTTAATTCAGGGCTGTCAAACTCCTGGCCCGCGGGCTGGATGCATCACATGCTGGCCATGCCAATGCCCAATGTAACGAAGGGGTGGGGGGAAGATCCCGATATGTCACATGACACTGCTGTGACGATGTGAGTTTGACACCCCTGCCTTAATTTTAAAAGCTGTGGTGGTGCAATGGTTGAAATGCAGTATTGCCCACAGCCAAGAATTTGATCCTGACCAGTTCAGGATTAACTCAGCCTTTCATCCTTCTAAGGTTGGTAAAATGAGGACCCAGATTGTTGGGGGCAATATGCTGATATTTGTAAACTTCTCAGAAAGTGCTGTAAATACACAATGGAACAATATATAAGTCTAAGTACTGTTGCTATTGCTGTTGAATTGCAAGTTAAAAGAGATTTGCTCTGCTGTGAAGAAATCTTCATATGAAATAGGTATTCCTTATAGAGACAGAACGTTTTTTTCAAAAAATAAAAACTGAGGTTCTATTCTCATCATCAAAATTTATCTCTCTTCTAGGAAGTTTATAAATGTCACCCATATTTTAAATGTCACATACTGTCAGATTTCATATTCTGGAAAATAATACTCTGCCTACAAATTAAACAGTGACATTGCTACTAAGGATATACCAATATCTAATAAAACAGACCATTTATTTAATGGGGATTTAATATTTGTGGATCCCTTTCATCTTTTAATTAAAGGGAACTTTAATCCCTAAATTCCTTATTTCAAACCCCCCCCCCACAAACACCTATTTCACTATTACATTAGATGAAACCTCGAACATTATAACAGCAAGTTGCGTGACTGCTTTGCCGACCTAGAATATTGCACAAACTGTCTACTATAGTATAGTAAAATTAAAACTACCAATTCCTCTATTAACCCTAAACATAATAGTAATGCAATCCCAGCAGACATGTGGGCAAAGAACCATGTTGATTGTGAACAATATTTCTTTTTTTTCCCCTCATAACAACTGTATCTTAAAACTATTATATCGTTTAAAGTAAATAATTAACTGCAAACCAGATTCAGAACATGGTTAAATATTTTACTAAAACAATAGCCCTTCAATTAATTAAGCTTTGAAAAGAAGTATTTTGGCTTTTAAAAATATTCGATAAATTTATACAAAATTACTAAAATTATTTTTATTACTAGGGGAAAAAAGGAACTGTTATATAGTGTAATTTTTGAGTAGGAAAATGCCTGTTTCAGTAATGGAACTCATCCTTAGTAAACTTATGTTTTGTTTACAAAGAGTTAAGATTTGAATAGAATTCAGTTCAGGAAACTATAAAATAAGGGCTTTTTTTAAAAAAAAATGACAATGCTTCTGGCTTGATAAGATTTAAGAATTACAGAAGAGATTCAAATGCATTAATCCTAAATCCAGTTACAAAAATTATTTATCAATTTTCTCAAAAAAGTTTTCAAGATGGTATGAATAATCTCATAATGGAGATCTGCATCACCTCAGTTTAATAATCCAATAAATCACAAAAAAGACAAACAATGAGAACAGCATCATATAGCATAACAGTTTTGTCTGGCTTCCTCTGGAGAGGATTTTCAGTCTGCCCATTGTTGCACCAAGGAATCCACTTGTTGAATCAAAATCATTGTCCTGTTGTTAAAAACATGCAGAATTATTTTACTGTTTGTATATTTCCTATTAACTTTTAAAACATAAAGACAGAGCTTGCAATTAGTTGTATTCTCTCTGCTCATGGATCAGCAAAAGTTCTTCAACATTGAGAGTCATGGTGTTGCAGTGGTTAGAATGCAGTACTGCAGGCTAGCTCGCTGCTCCCGCTAGCACAGGTGTGTCAAACTCAAGGCCCGTGACCCAGCCTGGCCTGCGGAGTGCTTAAATCTGGCCTGGAAATATCAAAGGAAATGCCTCTGCCAGCCAAAATGGGCCCTGGGGGACTATGGATGTCCCCCTTCCCCCGTGGCCTATTTTTGGCCTCCAGGGCCTCTTGCAGCACTCTGCTGGCCAAAAATCTGCTGCATAGGGCCTCTGCGTGGCCCATTTTCAGCCAGCAGAGTGCTGCAGGAGGACTGGATAGGACTGGATTACAATTATGTGGCCTCAAGTAAGTACCTAATCTGGATAGAAAACAAGCAACATCCTATGTTAATATTACAGTTTAATGCCAGATTTTACATAATGTAGGTCCATTTAATCTACAATCAGCAATCTATAATTGACAGCCATTTCTATTTACTATCCTGGAAATTTACCTCCGCTGTTAGATCTTGTATTATCATGTGATTTATGCAATCATATTTTTATTATTAGTTGAATAATAAATATACAATTGTATAAATAGCTTTTCTGCTATTTACTATTAAACAATGGGATATAAATTTAGAAATAAAAAGTGTAGTGGAGTATGAAAAATAAGTAATAAATGTTTGCCAGTAATATGTGATAGAAGAGATAGGAAAATGGTTATAATAAAGAACTGTGGAAAGAAGAGAAGGTGAAAAATGCATCTTGAGCCCATCCTGGCCACACCTATCCCAGCCATACATGCGTCCCTCAGTGAAATTGAGTTTGACACCCCTGCTCTAGCAGTTCAATCCTGACCGGCTGAAGGTTGACTCAGCCTTCCATCCTTCCAAGGTCAGTAAAATTGTCAGCATATTGCTGGGGGCAATATTCTGACTCTAAACCACTTAGAGAAGGCTGTAAAGCACAATGAAGTGGTATATGAGTCTAACTGCTATTGGTATCAGCAACTTTTAAGATGGAAAGACTTCAACTCTCTGATTTGACTTCAAGCCCCGGCTTTCCATGCATTAAAACATTTTTCCTCATCTTGGGCTCTTTTCAGATGTGTGGACTGCCAACTCTCAGAATTACTTAATCATCTTGAGTATTGCTGAAGAGCATATGTTCATGTATCCAAGCAGTACAGATAGTCTTTGAGCTACAACCATTGTTGAGTGACTGCTTGAAGTTACAATGGCACTGAAAAAAGTGACTTATGACTTTTTTCACACTTGCAACTGTTGTAGCATCCCTGTTGTCACATGATCAAAATTTGGGCACCTGACAATGGGCATGTATTTATGACAGCTGCACTGTCCCAGTTTTGTTTATCAAAATATCATCACTTGAAAACTTCCCAGCTGGCGTCCGCCAAGCAAAATTAATGGGGAAAGCAAGATTAGTTTAACAATTACATGATTCACAACAACAGCAGTGGTCTGCTTCGCTGTGGCAAAAAAACAAAAAATGCGGTATAACTCACTTTAACGGTCTTCCTTCGCAATAAAAACATGTAACATTTTAAAATGTGACACACTTGATGTTATGTATAGGGCTAAAGAATCCAAACATATATATAAAATAAATCTACTGAAATAACAAACCTAAATCATTACAGGTAGTCCTTGACTTACAACCACAGTTGAACCCAAAATGTCTGTTGTTAAGTGATACATTTGTTAAATTAGTTTTGCCCGTTTTATAACCTGCAGTTGACAAGTTAGTAACCCGGTTGTTAAGTGAATCCGGCTTCCCCATTAACTTTGCTTGTCAAAAGGTCACAAAAGGAGATCACGTGACCTTGGGACAAAGCAACGGTCGTAATTATGAACCAGTTGCCAAGCATCTGAATTTTGATCACATGATCATGGGGAGGCTGCAAAGTTGTAACTTTGGAAAATGGACTTGAAGTCATATTTTTCAGTGCTGCTGTAACTTTCAACAGTCACTAAAGGAACTGTTGTAAGTCGAGGACTACCTGCATTCACTTATTTTATTAAATTCAGTGATGTAATCTAAGCTTGACCAAAGGGATTAATTAGTATGTTAGAATTTACTTGAGTGATTTTAAAATTAAATTGATATATCTGAAAGTTTAGAGTTTAGCTGTTTCCATGCTCATCTAAAATAAACTGCTTAAGTAAATACATACCATTTCAGTTAATAATTTATTATGTTGTTTAACTTCTGTTCCAATTTCAATGGAAAGCTATGAGAAAAAAGACATACATGGTATTTTACAATGCATAATAGTAAATAATGAGATAACAGCTTATTTAACACGTTTTCCAGATGATCCTAAAAAGGTAGGAAATAGTATTTCATTCATTTTCAAATATGAAATCTATCCCTTCTGTTAATTTTTTTCCTTATGTAGCAGGGAAAAAGCTGATGGTATTGCTACAGTTTGCTCTGCTCTCCAAAGCCTTTAACTAAAGACACATTGTACACTTTTAAATCTGTTTTAATTCATATTTCTTTTATCCTTGGATAACTTGTTCCTTTTTTTTCATGCTTTTTATGTTTCAATATTTTAAAACCTATACTTCAGAACTACAGATTATTAATGTTGAACAAAAAATGATCAACTTGGCAGATGAAATTACATAAAATGATTAATAGTATACTAGCTAGTTTAGGCAGTAGATTACTATATACATATCATTTATTTCCTATAGATTCCTTTGAAACATAATAATTCCACATGGTTTGGTACTCAGATCAAGTGAGCCACTGGACTGCTCAAGAATTGCTTTTCTTAGTCCTTCAAGTGCTTTCATCTCACAGACTTTGATATGGATATACAAGAATATATTCACTGGATATGTTAGAACAAATAAAGAGTTAAGAGCAGGGGAGAATGTTGACAATACTTTAAAAATATAAAAGTGACTGCAGTTTTGATAGCTCAGCCCCATTTTTACAGCCCCTTGATAATATACTTTAAACTCAGATACAGATACAGATTAGAGATTAACAGAGTTGGAAGGGACTTTGTATTTCATCTAGTCCAACGACCTGTACTAGGGATTCGAACTGCCGACCTTTCTGATCAACAAGCTCAGTGTCTTAGCCACTGAGCCACCTACTGTACAAACGTTGAACATTAGCTATACAATTTTTCTCATTTTAAAAATCCATACTTAATTTGCTATTTGGCATTGAGTCCCTTCCTCATTTCTTTAAAAACAGATCAAACATGTTGGCTTAGTTGCCTTCACCACATCACCATTATGCCTCTTAAGCAACTGATAAAGCACCCTAAATCCTGATACACAGAAACTAAACAGGAACGAATCAATAAAAAATCATATAGTTTAAACCAGCCACACACTACTTATAAGATAACCAACTGTGTCATTTCATGCTTTACAAATAAAGAAGTCCTCCAGGGCTACCATTGTTTCCTGAACTTTTCCAGTTGTGCATCTTCAGTATTGGGACAATCTGCATTCTGTCCACACACCCCCCCCCAATATCTTTCTGAGTTTGATCAGTAAGGAAGTCATCAGATCAGATGATACAATAATTCGTAGGAAGTGAACTGGTAGGATTCATCTGAAAAAACGATGTCAGAGTGAAGGTAGGCAGCTGAGGAAAAACATTAATGTTTTTCCTCAGAGCCTTGGTAGTACAGTGGTCTAAAGCACCCTGTTATTAAGAACAGCTGCCTGCAATTACTGCAGGTTTGAATCTCGCCAAGGCTCAAGGTTGACTCAGCCTTCCATCCTTTCTAAGGTAGGTAAATTGAGGACCCAGTTTGTGGGGGCAATAAGCTGACTTTGTATAAATATACAAAAGAATGAAGGCTATTGCTTAGTGCATTGTAAGCCGCCCTGAGTCTCCGAAGAAGGGCGGCATATAAATCAAATTTTAAAAAAAAAAGTAATTTGGCTGCTGTTTAAAAAATGATTAAAAAATAATGCTTGGAATTATTAGGAAGGGAATTATAAAATACCCAATATTAAAATTTCCTTACACAAATCCAAGATGAATCTGTGTTTGTGTACACCTCTGGTCACAAAATCTTTTTTAAAAAGACTATCGTGCAGCTGAAGAAGGCACTAAAAAAAACAATTACAGGTTGCCTAGTCCTTGCTTAACTATAATTGTCAATTGTTACTCCATCAATAAGCAAGACATCACATGACTGCAACAGATGTATGTCAGCTTTTCCCATGGTTAAGTGAATCACCACGGTTCCTAAGTGAGACATTATGTGACTAGGACAACTCTTACATAGGCTTTTTTTTTAAAGGTTTTCTCTAGATAAAGAAGATTGTCATCTGATTTTTGGACTTTGTTTTGTCCCCAAGAGAATGTATTTCCAAACTCTCTTGTTATATCACAAGCGAATGCAGCCATAAATCATGAAATAAAGCCAGAATCAATAAAAATATAGATACGTGGAGTCTTTGGTGCTTTTCAGCTTGCTTGTATGCTTTGAAATCTTTTATTACCCAAGTAACTTTTATTACCTAAGTAACATCATCAGTGCTAGTGGGATTTGCTCCCTGCTTATATACAGTAGCTTGCCCTGCCAACGTTGGCAGGGTGTGATTTTTCTTCTTGATATAGTTCCTTGATTAGGGCATTATTTTCTGCTTGTTTTCCTTGCTTATCTGGGTATTGATTGCTGGAAAGGATTCATTCTGATCTTGTTTCCTTTTTAGTTTTTATATCGCCTCTTTTGAATGGGTTCTGTCTATACATTGTGAGATTAAGGAGTTTTCATTATGTCTGCTGATGGCTGGTTGGTGTTCAGGGATGTGATCAGTTAGTCTTTAGCCTGTCTGTCTTATATGGTGGCTGTACAGGCAGGAGACTAGTAAAGGACATCCGTAACAGGCAGTGAAATTTTGTATATAACCAGGGAGCAAACCCCACACTCATTCATCATCATTTTGATAACATTACCTAGTTAGGTAATGAAATGTCTGCAAATAAACAACTAAGCTCAGTAAGCACCAAGGACTCCACATTTCAATGATGAGCTTTCGATATTCTCTTCTATTGGAAAAATATAGATAATCAGGGTAGCCAGTTTTCAAAACCTCTCTGCTAGTAGTCAGCTCAGACATCTGGAAAAAGCAGTATGTTCTAGATTTTTGCAAGTAGACTAGGGATAGACAGAGGGGGAAAAAAAGAGAATATTTCCACACACTTCTCACTCATTGGATTATTTTCTAAGACAAGCGATACACTTGCATGCATTGAAATGTGGCCATTAGCTGAAAAAAAATTGCCATCTCTGATGAAAGTGATTTTATTCTTATTCCTGCTTAAAATATGTCTTGTCCCTTTAAATCAAACTGATGCTAAAATGTCTTGGTTTTCCTTCCTTAGAAGATGTATAATAAATCAAGCTAGAGCCATTATGTTCTTTTTGAAGGAAACCCAATCTTTTTTTCTGCCCCCACACTGAGACCTTAACCATCAAGACCTAGCAAATGAATTGGCAAATGAGGACGTGCAATTTGCCAGCTTTACTTATAGGGACTAAACTAGACAATTGGGCTGGTTTACCTTAGTTTGATTTTCAGCTATAATTATTTATTTAACAGAATAATTTAACTCTGTGGCTTATAAATAGACTAACGTACTAATCTTTACTGATTTATCATCCCTTAGGAACACAATTCTTAGTCACAGTGCCAAACAAAAAATCTTTTTGCCCGTTCCAGCTTGTAACTAATACTTTGATTAGTCAAAAAGGGCAGCTGAAACTCAAATCCAATTATAGATAGAATCTATTCTATGAACAAATGTACCATGCTCTCTGATGGGCAACTCAATTCAATTAAACTGTTGCTATACAGTTGATAGCAACTGTACTCCAATCAATTTGGATGCTGCTAGTATAATGACATACTTACAGATTTTATGGCAGTGACTTTTGAACGCAAACTTTCTGTTAACTTTTCATTTTCTTCCTCATATACACTATAGCCACTATTGGTATAACCATAATTGCTGCCAGCAGCTCCTTCACCTGAAAAAAAAAAAACCAATCAAATTAAAGCACCAGAAATTCAGATGGGAAAATATAATTTCTGGAGGGAAAGAACAGCTTAGTTTTATTAAATCATCCCCTGTTTTAAAAGAACAGGCAAGTAATGTCATTGTACAATAGGAACAACTTAAACCTTTCATAATCTAAAATTGAACAGGGTCAAAGTAATGAGTAAGGGAAGAAGGAAGACATACAAATGTGATTAATTTATGTTACCCTCAGGGCCTTTCAGTCTGCAGTCCAAACCAATGGGTTGCAAAGAGAATTCAGGATCCAAATCCATCATCTTAAAAAAATAACTGAACTGGACAGTCCAAAGTTTCCATATCCTGTTAACATTTTTCTAAAGAAAACATTTTTCTAAAGAAATCTCTTCCCCCTTCTTTGATTTTCTGAGTGGGGTGTACATATCTGGATCATCTATTAAATTGGATCTGTTATTTTCTTTCTCCTTGCATTTCAGGCCAACACAAAATCAAAGACATCATCTTCCCCAAGTGTTAAGTTCTACTCTTTAAAACTTAGAAATTGTCCCTTGCCTTTTTCTTCAGTAAGAATAGGCAGTGTTAGACTAGCAATTAAAAAACTTTATGGTTTTGTAATTTTGGATCACCTTCTCCCAGTGGTATCTGACTGTTGGTAACAATTTTGCAAGGGACAACTCCTTTCAGACTTATTTAGCATCACAGACTACATGGATGGGTCTTCTCTGTGCCAACATCATTTTTGGAACATCCTGAGATTAGGTTAGAATACAATGATAATATTTTGCATCACTTTAGTCCACAATCGGGATTAAGATTCTAGTCCTAATTGTGATCATAATCCAATTATTTATTTTTATAAATAACTGAAGGTGTCAAACCACTGAAGGTGAAATCTAAAATTTGTTACTACCGGTTCTGTGGGCATGGCTTGATTGGGTGGGGAAGTAATGTGACTTACCTAATGTTGGGCATGGCCAACTTTTTTTTTTACTTTTAAAAGCATTTTTTCTACAACTTTAAGAGGTTGCAGAAAAAAAATGCTTTTAGAAGCCTCTGACGATCAGGCAACTCAGCTGGGATTGTCACAGGCTTTTAAAGGCATTTTTTTTTCTACAACCTCTTCAGCCGAAGAAGTTGTAGTAAAAATGCTTTTAAAAGCCTCTGACGATCCCAGCTGAGCCGCACGATCATCAGAGGCTTTTTTTTTTACTTTTAAAAGCATTTTTTCAGCCAAAGAGGTTGTAGAAAAAATGCTTTTAAAAGTAAAAAAAACAGCCTCTGATGATTGCACAGCTCAGCTGGGCATGGGGGAAGGGGGGCGCAGGGATTTCTGCTACCGGTTCTCGGAACCACCGGCTGCCATCACTACCGGATCAGGCGATCTGGTCCAAACCGGGAGCATTTCACTCCTGTGTCAAACATATCTTCTTCCTGCTATATTCCTCACAACAACTCTAAGAAGTGGCTGAGAAAGAGTGATTGGCCCAAAGTCAAACAGCTATCTTTCATGCCTAAAGTGGAACTAAGATTCCTGGTCTCATGGTTTCTAGACGTATTCTCCTTAACCACAAGATTAAACTGGCTTTCTGCCTCTTTGCAATTTTTACAAAGAAAAATTCAAGAGTATAACCAAGAAAATAATTAAAATTTAACTGAATTTAAATTTAAATCTAAAGGTTATACAATTACTTCAAGCTAACATCTATTCTTTGGGTGCTTTGGAAAAACCATTAAGATGCGGCTATTGGAAAAGACTTCGTTGAAATAATTGAAAGTCTCTTCTAATATGTTAACATTACAGGGACTATTAGATTTGATTTTAATGTAGGTTGATGATGTAATATTGGACAGTTTTATCTTTTTCTTGTAAACTGGAAATGTAAGTTGTTTAAAGTCAATTTCAGTTGAAGTTGCCTATAAGTATAAATATTCAAACATACCCACACAAACATTGTGTTTGTAACTAATTATTTCATTTATTTAAAACATGTATGCCACTTCCTGGTTAAAAATAATCTTGAAGTGACATACATAGAAAGCTTCAGGAGTCAAAGCATTATAGATTGTCCTCATTTAGCAATTGCAACTCTGTCATTAAGTAATCAGTGAAAAACATGGAACCATGACTATGTTTACAATTTTACTTCAGCTTTCCTTCTGTTGCATCAAAAGTGTAAATGTGGGCATTGGTCACAGTTACTTTTTCATTCCCATCATAGATGTCACTGTCTAATTGCTAAAAGAGGATTACTTGTACAGTACAAGATGACAATTATTTATATAGGAAATACAGCAGCCAAACACTCTTAAGTATAATTTAGAGCAATTGCTAACTAACATAAGACTTTGAGTTTATGATGCACTTTTAATTAATAAAAGAAAACATCAATTTAAAATCCAGAATTAAAGCAACTATCATACTATCAATAGTAAAGTAAAGCATATTTTTGGAAGATAGCTATGGGTTAAAATAATATTCAATTATATTCCAAAAAAAACTGGAACTTGTCAATTTATGAAGAAATTTCCAATATATTTTGCTTGGACTGTTGCATAGAAAGTGATTTTTTATTCTTGAATAAAATTTTATGATCCAGATATTAATAGTTGATTTAATAACGTGTTAGCTTTTTTCTTTGAATTGCTTTGTTTCCACAGATAGGTAGGATTGGGCAATGGTCCGCCTAGATTTAATTTACTGTTGAAAAACTACATTTGCAATTATTTGTATAAATATAAAATTGAGATTTGAAATCATTTTCTATACATTGAGATTTGTGGAAAATTTTGCAATTTGCATTTTTGCATTTTACTATTTAATTTTTATCTTTTCCCCTCCCAGTTACTTTTTTAATATTATTTTCAGCTCTTTTTAGCGAACTGCTTTTCCTGATATTTCTTTCCCTTGCTTTTTAAAATTAGCCTTTTGTAGTTTTTTTATTTTTACATACACAATACTTCTAACAGATCTAAAGATGCTCATAATTGCTATATTATGGTAATGTTTGTAAATTCACATGTATGTGAAGCCGCTCGGTGAGATCATCCATGGCTTTGGGGTGGAGTTCCATCAGTACGCTGATGATACGCAGCTGTACATCTCCACCCCAGGCCATCCCAACGATGCCCTTGAAGTGATGTCCCGGTGCCTGGAGGCCGTGCTGATCTGGATGGGGAGTAACAGGCTTCGACTCAACCCTTCCAAGACCGAGTGGCTGTGGCTTCCGGCGTCCCGATATAGCCAGCTGGTGCCATCGCTGGCTATTGGGGGCGAGTTATTGGCCCCCATGGATGGGGCTCGCAACTTGGGCGTCCTCCTGGATGCACGGCTGTCTTTAGAAGAGCATATGACCGCCGTGGCCAGGGGGGCTTTTTATCAGGTCCACCTGATTCGCCAGTTGCGTCCCTTTCTGGATCGGGATTCCTTACGCACAGTCACTCAGGCACTCGTCACTTCCCGCCTGGACTACTGCAATGCTCTCTACATGGGGCTCCCCTTGAGGAGTACCCAGAGGCTCCAACTGGTGCAGAATGCGGCTGCGTGGGGGATTATGGGAGCGAGGGGGCGCTCCCATGTGATACCTCTCCTGCGTGAGCTGCATTGGCTTCCAGTGGTCTTCTGGGTGCGCTTCAAGGTGTTGGTTACCACCTTTAAAGCGCTCCATGGCATAGGACCTGGGTATTTGCGGGACCGCCTTCTGCTGCCGATAGCCTCCCACCGACCAGTACACTCCCACAGAGAGGGACTCCTGAGGGTGCTGTCAGCCAGGCAATGTCGACTGGCGACCCCCAGGGGGAGGGCCTTCTCTGTGGCAGCTCCTGCCCTCTGGAACGATTTGCCCATGGAGATAAGAAGGATATCGGATCTTCGGTCTTTCGCCGTGCCCTGAAAACTGTTCTTTTCCATCAAGCAGGGCTGGCGTGAACCCCCCCCCTTTTTTTTTAGTTTTTTAGCTTTTTAGCTTTTAATCTGTCAATGGGTTTTAATTCGAATTGTTTTAAATTTGGGCCAAAGTATGTAATTCTTTTAATAATTTTAAATTTTGTATTGGTATGTGTTTTAGTTCTGGCTGTGCACCGCCCTGAGTCCACTAGGAGAAGGGCGGTATACAAATTAAATAAAATAAATAAATAAATAAAATTCAATTATAATATGTTGAAAGATAACAGGTAAGAAAAAAGGAGTCCCTGAGGATTTTATTCCATTAGTTGTTGCCAACTCTAAGGGGCAGTGTTCCATTTCCATTTTCAAGGGCCATTGAACCAGCGTTGTTTGAAGATATTCCCATCATCATGTGGCCAGCATGAAGTCACAGAGCACTGTTATCTTACCATTGATGAGGGACCTATTTATCTACTTGCATCTGCATGCTTTCAAACTGCTAGATTGGCAGGAGCTAGAGCAAGGCAGGAGCTCACCCTATCGTGTGATGCTCAGGTCTCAAACCCAGGCTGCCATCTTAATTGCTGAGCTATCGCAGGGTCCCAGTTTATGTTGCAAATTCAGTAAAAAATTTACCCTGCATACATATTAGGCCTATCATACAACTGGATGATTGCCATGGGATACAGAAACCTAATAATTTACTGCCATTTAGTGATAGCCTAAGAAGTATACTATTTAATATTTATTTACACACACACACACAGAGACACACACAAAGTCATTTGCCATTAAATTTATTTTGGAGAACTGCACTAACTTACAATGATTTAGTAATTTTTTGGATAGTTTTTAAGGTGCTACAATACACTATTAAACCCCACTTTGATTAAGTGGACATGATCCACAAAAACTTGTGGATCTAAATTGGTTACATTTCTAAAAGATTACAAAACTTTCTTCATCCCCCCCCCCCCCCCCCAGACTAATATGGCTAACTCATTTGGAAACAAAAATACTAAGTTAACTTTTGGAATGAAAAATATAATTTGGCTGTTAGAAATAAAGAAGGTTATATTTTGTTGCAACCAAATCATTTCAAATGTTCCTTATAATTGTAACCCATTGCTGCTTCTTTGAAAAACCATAATGGTTTTACAAGCATACTAATTTCACAAAATTAAGCTTTTCCATCATTAACAGGAATGTATATTTTAATAACTGGGCTATAATAAGAAAACAGGCCAGGACATTTGCTGAAATCTATTAATCTATAGTTAATTTTAATAAATTAGAGATATATACATACAGTATCTATTCAAAAACATCTCTTAAGTTTAAAGTACATAGGGAAAGTTTGCAGCCAGAGTCCTATCAACATCACTAGGTCATGATTATATCTCATTTCTCTGAAACTACAACATAAGATTTTGACTGTTTTAAAAAAATAAAAACATCTATAAAATGACAAAATGAATTACAAACTATTTGCAAGATATGCAACTTTTATATACAGGATCATTTTCAGGTCCAGTAGAACGTGTTGCACAAGGGTGGGGCAAGTTGAAGTGATTATGTTCAAATACATGCATGCATATAGCATCCACACATAATTAATATATATATATCCCTCTTACTCAACAGCCCACAGATATACCAAATTTATGATAAATTTGGCAGATGAAAAAGTAGCGCTAGATAAGAGAAAGCAGATGGGGGTCAGGTAAGAGTCAGATATGTTGATGACCTAAAAATCAATGAATTACAAATTATTTTATTGAAAACATGGCATATAAACAGAGTCTCAATATCTCAAGTAGGAAAATGGATTTATAATTTTCATAGGAGGCCAGGAGCTTCATTTCCAAATAGAATAATAGAGCAATGATGAAACTATGTCTACACATTTCTTGGATATCTAAAAGTTGTACAGTGACCATTTATATGGAGAGAATTCAAAAGTTATACATCATAGGCTGGAAATGTTTCTTGCAATTCCAGATGTCTATTTCATAACTGATGCAACACAGAAATACAGCTAGTTTCTCTCCAGAATCCCATTCATCATTGTTACTCAATGATGCACTTTAAGATTCTTCAGAAATCCATTTAAAGACACTACCATGGGGGGGAAAGCCACTATCCTTTTCTTCAAGGAAATTTGGGTAGAGGTGCTATAAAATATGCACTAATGAAACTTTGTTTTACTCCACCTTTTCATCAGATAGACAAAGCAGTGGAACCAGTCTTGAAATGTAGAACACTAATGGAGAGACTGGAGGCAAATGAAGGTCAGGAGCCAAATCGTTGTCAATGGGATTTCATTTTCCTAAATAAAGATGTGCAACATTTTATTCATAATCCATGAAAAGCACTCTGGCACGTTTATAGGACAAAGGCAATAAACTAATTTTGGTTTTATTGACTGCAACTAATGAATACCATTCAGGTGCTTTTTTAAATAACCTGCAGCATTAATAATGATGCAGCAGCAATTTGAGGATGGAACTGGAGGCTCCACACAAGACTTGGGGAGCCACATATCTAAGCAAGTTTATCCTAAAGGGCATGCCTATAGCTTATGGTGCTGATATATGTTGTCATTGGAAGGCCAAGTGGCTAATGTAAGATGCAGCAAGCTTGTGAAACAGGTCACACCTTTCCAAAGTGAGATTATTTGAATGTCTATTGTTTAAATTACTACCAGTAGCATATGATAGTTTTCCTTGTTGGGAGAAATATCCATCTGGTTCAGTTCCAAGCCGGGAGAAAGTCACTGGAACCATGGAGGCTAATTGGAAAGAGGGTTTAATGATGAAGCAGAACCACATGGGTTTGAGGTCCTGGGCAGCTGACCACACGGAGTTGAGAGTGGGGGGTATTTATACCTTCTCTTGGGCTTTGCACTTAAACTTCCTGTTTCTGTGCAAGAACATGTATTCTATTAGCTGTTGTAGGGGTCATAGCTAGATCTGTAGGTTGTCTGAGAAGTTTGGTTGAAGTTTGGACTCTGATGCAATATCCTTAAGAGATAGTGCAATGTAGTGATAGTGCTGCTAGTGAGTTAATCCTATTATGTCCTGGAGGGTCATGTCTTAATCCCTTCACCCTGGAGCTGAAGGTATTTGTTTTGTAGATAGGCTGGCCCAATCTTTCTCAATGGGCACAAAAATCTGCTGGGCGAAGGGAGATTGAGTCTGCTTTCTGTCTTTTAAGAAAAACATATTTCTCACTTCTCATTTAAGGAAATATAACATTATGCCTTTTTTAATATTCCTCAAAATATTTCATTTTTCTATGAAGTGGGGTGCTAACTTTTTACAGTCTTTATACTTTTTCTTAAAATTTCAGATACCCACCCACTAAATTATTACTTAGCCCAGCTAAAAAAATTAAGACTGTGCCAGTTTCTGAATAGTTTTCAAATCGGTGAAGATTACTTATTCAGCTAGTAATAAATTAGAACATAGATAAAATCAGGATTAACTTTTTTTCTGTTTGAGCCCCCTCCCCCTCCACCACCACCACCCCTTGCACACATTAGTCATCTCAGAAATCCTGTCTTTAGAACCAGAATAGTGTGCCCTGGACCAAGTCTACTTATGGAATATTGCCATAACATCTAATTTAATGTCCTTCCAGCCTCACATGAATGCTGGAAATCTATGTTCTTATTTTTACACATATAATTGATAATTACTGCACCTGCTGGATTTTATTGTTCATTCAATGCACAAGATGTGAATAAATTGCTCAGAATTTGGATTGGGGTCGGAGAGTGTCAAGCACTTCTGAATTTTAAAAAAGAAAAGTAGCATACACTATCGTTCTCTATTTTCTCCAAGTTTTATATGTAAAACAAAAATGTGATGAGGCTATTAATCAGTCAAAATACATATATATCTGCAGAGTTAGCTGACTAAATGAGACAGCTTATCCATATAAAATGGAAAACATTTTTGACAAGAGCCAAAAAGAGTTCATAAATAGAAGGTAAGCTATTATTATTCAGAACGTACTATAATAGAAGGCCATTGAATTACTTTGCAGAAAATTAATTTATATATTAAATTTCTCATTATTTTGCAGGGCCAAATGCTTTCAGAATATACCAACCCTAGGAATTTCTTGAAAGCTGATTAAAATTTGCAAGCTATCTGCATAATGTATAGTGTTAACTTTGTCATAGTAAATGATATTTCTAGTCTTAGGTCTACAATTAGCATTCAATAAAAGATTTCTGATAAAGTTAAGTTATTCCTAGATGTCATAGGCCAGAGAATGGGAGTTTCTGATGGCAGGGTTATATACTTCTTTTAAAAGTTAATGCCATTTTTCATTCTCATTAACGCAGTGAAAACTGGACTGAATATTAAACGTCCATAGGAGTTCAATATTGATGCCATAATATTCATTGCTGCCCCATGTTTTCATTACAAATGCAGTCTTGAACCTCCTGATACAATTCATTGGTTGTGTCTAATCTATCATCCCAGCCCTCTATGAATCTCCTCCCACATATCCTGGGAAAGAGACTGATAGATGTCTTTGTACCATATGTGGGAAGATATGCAAAACAAGTTACAGAAAGTGTTTTATCACTCTCATCATAGTCTATAGTTGGCTTCAACTTTATTCAGTAACACAGTGATTTCTGCAGATACATGATGAAAGCACCCCATAAATACAACCTGAGTCTCAAAGCACACTGGCTTTTAAAAATCTGAGATATGTGTCCATCCAACTATAATAGGATGACTGAATCAGTATACCTGATATTCCACCTGTATTTATTAGAAATAGAATTCTTGATTGGCCAAGTGTGATTAGATATACAAGGAATTTGTCTCCGGTGCCTAAGCTCTCAGTGTACATACAACAATAGTAATACATCATTATCTATCACTTGGCAATAGTCATGGATACTAAATAAGCAATCAACATAAATTATACTAGGATACTAAGTAAATAAATAAATCATAAGATACAACAACAAAGTTATAGTCATAAGAAGAAGATAGGGAAGATGAGAATAATGATGGTAATATTGCCTTTCTAGATAGTTTGACAAGTGTTGTGGGAATTAGTTGTTTAGCATAACAGTAACAGAGTTGGAAGGGACCTTGTAGGTCATCTAGCTCACGCAGGAGACCTGTACTAGGGATTTGAACCACCAAACTTCTTTCTGATCGACAAGCTCAGTGTCTTAACCACTGAGCCACCTAGTCAGGCTCAATGATGCAGAGCAGAATGATGGCATGGGGGAAAAAAACCTGTTTTTGTGTCTAGTTGTTCAGGCATGCAATGCCCTAAAGCGTCATTTTGAGGGTAGAAGTTGAAACACTTTGTGCCCAGGGTTCAAGGGATCTGCAGATATTTTTGTGCCCAGGGTTCGAGGGATCTGTAGATATTTTTCACAGCTCTGCCTCTTATTTGCTAGATTTATATCCTGACTTTTGATAGAAGACCATCAAATGGTGTGCATAAAGTTACTTCTATTTTTTCCCCAACCACATCCCAGCAGAGCAGACTGAGCTGAGTGTTATCTGGCCCAAAACCACCCAAGGACCTTTCAGTCTAAGCGTATAAACCTATAGGATGCCCCTACTGCCAGTCCCTCTTACACCTCCACTTGCTCTTTGCGTCTCTGCCATCTGTTCTAAAACCAACTATGTAAGGCTTAACTCCTGGCAGGAGGCAACAATCCCACAGAGAAATCTATCCACATCTGCAATGGAATGTTTTGAATCTTCAGGCACATTAAGTTTAAATCCCATTGACGAGGAAAAGGCATTGATAGAAGAAGGGTATCACCAGGCCTCTCCTATTCGCCTTCATGAATAAGAGGAAGGCTGAAAGATCCCAGGGGGACTTTCCCCGAAGACGAGGGCCGGGACTCAATCGTGGCAAGGCAAGGGCGCCGTGAACCCCTGAACACGGGTTTCCTCCGCAGAGACCCGCTCCCCACAACGAAACTTCTCCTGGTGGATCCCCACTTACCCAGCCCAGCCCTCCTCATCCTTATTCGTCACAGGAGAGGCGAGATAAATTCCTTCCCCTGAGACTCACGGGCACCACGGAAAAGCGCCGTTCACACACTCGGCGGCAAGGAGGAAACGGGGCACACTGTCAGGCATTCCCACTGAAACCCCGAAACGCCACGACAGCGTTAAGTTCCTGAAAAGCCTTTCGGGAATTGTAGTTTCGCTATGATTATTATTAATTTTTTTTTTTTGCCCTCGCGAGGCCTTCTGGGTAACGTAGTTTCCCCGTACTACTCTCGGAGATTTCTGGATAATGTAGTTTTATAAGCCTGCCTGGTTACTTCTGCGCGTCAAGGGCTGGTTATAAAGTTCGGTGATGAAGCCTAGAATCATAAATGCTTTTTTTTTCCTCCTTTTTTAAACGAGGACCATCACTATCTCTTTTATATGTGGAAGAGAAAGCGGACAATCGGATTAAAGGCGGACCCCCAAGAGGGAAGCAACATTTCGTTTCCTTTGTTTTGCAGCTTTTCAGGTTTAGACAACAGCTGGCAGGAGAAGCCAGGCTGAAAGCCCTTTAAGTGTCAGCAGCATCTTCGAGCCGGGCAAGAACCCCAAAGGGTCGACAAAGCTGACAAAAGAGGTGGCTACCGCAGTTCTCTTTTTCATTCAGGGTCCTATAAGGAGTTGGGAAACGTATACAAGTAGTCCTCAATTTACAACAGTTCATTTCATGACTGTTCAAAGTTACAAAGGCACTGGAAAAATGTGATTTAGGGCTGTTTTTCACACACACTTACAACGTTGCAGCCTCCCCATTGTTCACTACGTAATTTTGTTACATTTCGTATTCTACAACATTATTTAAAATTAATTTTCAAGCTAATTTATTTCCTTCAACTTAACTCAAATGTTTAAGCAGAACTGGGCTTTTATCTTTTTATATTGTAGATATGACTCAGGCCATTCACCACAGGATTATAGATTATTTCCCCCAAAATAACTTGAACAGAAAAATAAACTGCTTGGAAACTATGAATCATTCATGTACGTATACAACTTCATTTATTTTTCTTTTCTTCATTGTCAAAACTATTACAGAACTCCTCTATCATTTTATATATCTTTCCATTATCCCATATTGCTGAATCTTACTACAGAAAAAAAAGGTTATCATTACAATAAAAATGAAAACATAGAAGCTTTTATTGAGAAAATGTAAAGATGAATAATGTTTCCCATTATATCTGTTTATTGCTTTTCTATGGCAGAGGGAGATAACATATAGTTCTTAAAATTTATAATATTGTGGATAAATTTAATCAAGGACATTCTGAAAAATAATTGTAGAATTGGAACAGAGTTTCTTGTGGTTTTCTCTTTACTTAAATTTTGTCTCAATTTCAAAGGTGTGTCTTGCTAAAACATTCCACAGAAAAAACAACAGGAGTAGTTTGTATTTATTTTATCTGTTATGCATACATCAACTTTTTGCATCAATCAATCGTGTCAGTTTTTTTTTCTAATTTAATACATGTAAAATATATTGTTGATTGGAAGGTTCTTAGTATTTGAAAAATAGTTGAAAAACAATTTCCAAATATAATTAAGGTTTGAGAGAACTTTGTGTCAATAATATAATAATGTATACATTGTGATTGTGAACTTGGTGGAAATCTCATAATTCCCAACTGCTCAGCTCATGAGACAACTGCAGATTACTTATGAGTAGCAGTTGTCTGGAGTACAAGAGGGTGATCTCACAGCCTTTCCCTTTTCCAGAGAGATTTTGCCAGCCGGAATTTACATTCTGACTGCCAGTCTCGCCATTGTGCCATCTCTGCTCCTTCAGAGACATGTAGTCTACCATGAATCTTCACCAGTAATAGTTTGTATTTCTTTTTATCTATTTAACTATAACATTTAAATAAAAATATTATTTAAAAAGGAATTGTAAAATTCTGACCCTCTGAAGAGTCAAGCTAGAAAAACCTGAACAATCTTGGAGTACGCAGAAAGTTTAATTCTAATGTCATGTATTATGTTAAGCCACAGTTTGTTTAAATTATGATTTATTGAAAAGTGACATTAGTACAATTCAGAAACTATGCAAAGTACATAAATAGTCATCTATGAACAATAATTAGCCAGGTTTCTATAATATGCTAAGCCAAACACAAACAAACTACAACAGGACAGCAATCTTTGTCTTGTGTAGTAAACAGCATCTCTCTGAATGGCTATTTGTATTCTTAAAAGAAATAATATTGGTATCATTCTTTTCTCTAATTTATTAAAGCAATTCTTGACGTTTGATTGGGGACTTTAACATAGGATTCATGGATTCTACCAATCAGCTGATATTATGCATATGATATTATTCTGGCTTCTATTGAACATTTACGTCTTCCATAGAATAAAACACAGCAGTAAGTATATGCATCAATTGTTCTTTTTCCAGTATCACAGCCTACATAATATTTTTTTTTCTAAGTCTTCTCTCCGTGATAGATTTGCTTGGCATCATTACCAAGTTACCAAGCTGTTATTGTGCCTTTTTATGTCTTTAAATCTAAATTTGCATTGGCTTGGTTTTTGAATCAGAAATTACTTTCCCCTTCCTTCGTTTCCTCCTATCCTTAAAGATGGTTTTCCTCTTAAGGGTGATCCATAACTTTAATGAGTTAATGTCTTACAAGGATTTTGTGAGCACAATCCCTGTCCACCCTTATGAAAGAAGCACTTAGTGTTTCCAAGAGGAAATAACACAAGTTTGGTTCTCCTGCTATTCACTCAACACCTGACAGTCATATGAATAGAATCTAGTAATTGCAAATGTGTAGATTGGTTGGCCATTGGAACCAGAATAACCTTTACATTTGAATGTCTGCCAGGCTGCTCTTCACTTAGGTGAAATTGTCTTTGTGGCAGCAGAATCTTTCAGATGTTGAAAGCTGTCCTAACATTAGTGGTATTGAAGTTTTCTACTACATTCTATAGGATTTCCTTTCTTTGTGCATAATAGTTCTGTCACTTTTTTTAGGCACTCTGATTGTCCTCCACTTCAAACAAGAAAATGCACTTGCACAGAATTACATGCATTTTTCAACTGTTTACATTCTAAGCATCCTTTGCAATCTGTTCTATGTTTTTTTTTTCAGAATGCTTTGCAGCTTCCCCAGGATTCAGCTTTTACCCAGAATCTCCTTTTGCTCTCTTAGGCACTATATTTCAACTTGACATATCTTTTGCCTGAAAAAAAAAAAAAGATAAGACAGCATCTTTTTGCTCTCTTAATCTATCTTCAGAAGTACCCAAAGGTGCTTTTTTTTTTAAAAAAAAAAAAGGCAACTGGACTTTCTGATTTTCTTTGAAGACAAATTTCCCCACCATCTAGTCAGAGCTGAAGAAGCTTCTTGGATGAGAAGTAAAACGTCTTCAAAGAAAACCCAGAAAATCCAGTTGCCTCTTAAAAAAAAAAAAAAAAGCACCTTTGGACAACCATGATCTAGATGACTGAGAATCTCCATAAACATTACAGGTCGACTTGCAACAGTTCATTTAGTGATCATTCATGGCACTGAAAAAAGTGACTTATGACCATTTTTCACATGGCCTTTGCAGCATCCCCATGATCATGTGATCAAAATTCAGAGGCTTGGCAACTGACTCATATTTATGACTGTTGCTGTGTCCCAAGATCACGCAATCACCTTTTGCAACCTTTGGACAAGCAAAGTCAATGGGGATGCCAGTTTCACTTAACAACTGTGTTACTAACTTATCATCTGCGGTGATTCACTTGATAACCATGGTAAAAAAAGGGCGTAAATGAGGCAAAACTCACTTAACAAATTTCTCACTTAACAACAGAAATATTGGGCTTACAATTTGTAGTCGTAAATTGAGAACTGCCTTTTGAATCTTATTTCATCATTGACAAAAGGTGGGATCTGCAGAGGGTCTATGAATCAAGTAGCGCACAAGACCAACATTACTGTTATGGCCCTTCTAGCCAGCATCTTCTTTCTTGATGTGACTGCCTAAAGCTTATGGCTGGATCCTCATCCCTCCCTAACAAATCTTTTGCAAACCACCTCCCCTTAATTTTTGTTTTCCAGTATTTGAGGGTCCTGGGGAACAATATGGCAAGACACTGAGATCACTGGAGATGAAGTATAAAATAGTAGCATTTTCCTTCCTGGGTGATTAGTGTACATATTTACTATCACTTATGGAAGAAAACTGTTCAAGATTTTATTGCTATTATCTTAGAACTTATGGTTGAATTACAAAAGCAGTGTGATATTGAGAGGCAAAACTGTTCAAGATTTTATTGCTATTATCTTGGAATTTATAGTTGAATTACAAAAGCAGTGTGATGTTGAGAGGCAGTGGTGGATGTTCTAAGGCCAAAATAAGGGTGAGGATATATGTGGTTTGTAGGTCTAGCTTGCCCATCAATATTAATAGCATATATTATTTATTTCAAAATGCACAAAATAGGGTTTGCTTCAAAACTACAGTGAAACAGATTTAACAGATTAACAGAGTTGGGAGGGATCTTGTAGGTCTTCTAGTCCAACTCCCCACCCAAGCAGGAGATCCTACACCATTTCTGACAAATGGCAGTCCAGTTTCTTCTTGAAAGTTTCCAGTGATGAAGTTCCCACAACTTCTAAGGCAGGCTGTTCCATTGATTGATTGTTCTCACTGTCAGAAAATTTCTCCTTATTTCTAGGTTCAATCTCCTCTTGATCAGTTGCCATCCATTATTCCTTGTCTGGCCTTCAGGTGCTTTGGAAATTAGCTTGACCCACTGCTCTCTGTGGCAGCCCCTCAAATATTGGAACACTGCTATCATGTCTTCCCTGGTCCTTCTCTTCACTAGATTAGCCATGCCAGGTAGTTGCAACAGTTCATTGTATGTTTTAGTGTCCAGTCCCCTAATCATCTCGGTTGCTCTGCTCTTTGCACTTTTCTAGAGTCTCAACATCTTTTTTATAGTGTGGTGACCAAAACTGGATGCAGTATTCTAGGTGTGGTCTTACTATAGAGTGGTATTAGTACCTCACTTGATTCTGTTTGTATCCCTCTATTAATTCAACTTTGATGCAACTATAAGATTCTATTAATTATTCATTTTGGTTAGATCTGATTTGAATCTACAAAATATTGAAGTTTGGGTTATATTAATCATTTACGCTAGAGGTGACTAACTTCTGGGGGTTTTATTTTCTTGATTTTATTTTCTTAATTTAATGTTTAATTAAATTAAACATGCCACATCTGGTAAGTATCATGACCTGGTGATGTCAGCATCACATAGTTTTGTTGTTTACTTTAATGACATGACTAATTAAAGAAACAGATAAGCCCACATTATCAGTTAGTATTCACTAGGAGTACTTCCAATGAAGTGAATACAAACTAAAGTTATAAATTGCAATTTCAGAGAAAAGGATTGATATGAGCCATTACATTTATTTCTTTCCCCTAGCTAAGATAGAATAACTTGTTCAGTTATGAAGAACTGTATGAATGCCCTTATACCATTGGCTGTTTTACTGGGCAAGTGAAAACACCTCCAAAGAAATCAGTATTTGTTTGTTTATTTATTTATTATTGCGATTTATATGCCGCCTTTTTCCTGAGGGACTCAAGGCGGCTTACAAAATGACAATTTCCAATACAAATCACAACAAGATAAAATTAAAATCAACACCCCAATTAAAACAGGTAAACTGTGGCATGCCAACATCTTATTCTCCCAAGAATGTATGTGGAACCTAAGAGGTAGCTTTATCGTAATTAAAAATGATGGAAGTTGGCATACTCCTTTGCAACAAGCCACCCTCCCATTTAATCTGAATTTTTCTCCAAACTAAGATAACTTTAGAAAATTGGTCAAAATATATTGGTTCTCTGCAGATTTGTACCAAATCAGTAAAGACTTTTAATAAACAAAAATATTCCATACTGCTCCCATTCTCTACCCATTTTTTTCCTTTAGAAAGACTCCATACAACTCTATTGTTCTCCTAATGGTAGTTGCCACCAGTCTTAAAAGTGCTTTTTCTTCAAAAGGTAGTTTTTTCAAAAGGCAACTGGACTTCAAAAGGTAGTTTTTTCCTACCAATCTTGGAATGACATCAACTCTGACACTCAAACCTAATATTGTATTGTTATAATACTTTATTGACAAATATTCTGGATCCCATGGGTTCAGATCCTGGCATGGAGATACTGAAAGGGAGAAAGCTGATCCACTCCCTGCCCTCTAACATATGAATGTTAGAGGCTCTGTAGCTATTGGGCAAAAAGATAGTAATCAATTGTCTGGTGATTATACAGCATTGTAAGAGAAAGTTTTGTGTTCCAGGCATATTTTTTTTTTTTTTGGCTGTATATCCCTATCAATATTCAAGGAATTAAAATTGAAAGTAAGGATATTCTTGAGAGTTAAGAAGAGTTAAGAACACAGACAGTTAAATACGTGAAAAAAAATTGCTCAGCTATAGTTTCTCCAACCATACAATGAAAACCTTCATTTAATGTTTAAAATTTTAGTTGCTATTAAAAATATAAGAAATGAACCAGCAAGTAGAATTGGCAATCCAACATATAACTCATTTAAACAGACAGATTCTATATTTCCCATCTCAATAATGAAGTGGAAGTTGAAATGAAATAGCATGAGGGGGAAAAAATAACTGTCTCTGTGTCTAGTTGTTTTGGCATGCAATACCCTGGAACGGTTTTCTGAGGAGAGGAGTTGAAACAGTATGTCCAGGATGTGAAGTGACTGTAAATATTTTCTCAACCCTCCTTCTGACCCGTGCAATATACAGGTTATCACTGGAAGGCAGGGCTGGCTGCAGTTGTTTTTTCTGGAGTCCTAACTATCAGTTGAAGTCTGTACCTGTCCTGTTTGTTGATATACCAAACTAGACATAGATAGAAGTACAAATGACAGACTCAATAAATTCCTCTGTAGATCAACAGCTCCTGGAGAAATTTGAACTTTCTGAGTTGACCCAGGAAGAACATTCTTCCTTGTGCCTTTTTAACGATTGTTCTGATGTTAGATGTCCTTATAATAGGACTGAATTGACATTTCTGACTACATACAAATAGAAGTGGCAGAAGGAATGGGACAACTTGCCCCAGCCAACTCGTTGCAGCAAATTCACTGCGGCCAACGCCCCACAGCCAACTCACCATGGGCAACTTTTTATTTATTTAATTGTTTGTCAACAAGTACAAAGAAATAAGTATCAGTATAGACATAGACATGGGCACATGAAAAAAATGGCACAAATAAATGGATATAAATAGGCAAAATTATAGCCATAAACACATAAAATGATTATATATAAATGGGGACAGTAGGACAGGGATGGTAAGCATGCTGGTGTGCTTATGCATG